GTAGAAAGACAATAATCATTTTCTCTTTATTTTACCATTATGTATTAATTGCTGGGAAGGTTCATATGCTTATTACAAATGACAAAGAAAAATACTTGACATATTATTTGCCTGTTTTATTTCCTCTATATTGATTCCTCACTAAGGGGGAAATTCTTTTTTGAAACATTAACTGATTTCTTGTGAAGACATAAAAATTCTAGAAGAAAAATTCTTGTAGACATCAGCCTCGACACATAATTTATGGCTAAGACCCCAAAGGCAAATACATCAAGTGACTTATAGATTTAATGAGACCCCCCATCAAAATACCCCTGTCATTTTTCACAGATCTAGAAAAAACAAAACTTTATCTGGAATCAAAAAAGAGGCTGAATAGCTAAAGCAACCTTTAGCAAAAGGAATGAATTTGGAAGTATCACTTTGGCAGACTTTAAGCTATTCTACAAGACTATAGTAACCAAACAATTTGTAACTGGCACAAAAATTGAGATATCGACCAATGAGACAGAACAGATAACCCAGACATAAAACCACTTACTATTGCCATCTGATCTTTGACTGGGGAATAGAATCCCTATTTAACAAATCGTGCTGGGAAAATTGGATAGCCACAGGTAGAGGAAAGAAACCAGATCCACAATTTTCACCATTTACTAAATTAATTCAAGATGGATTAAATCTAAGATATAAAACCATAAGAATTCTAGAAGAAAATGTTGGAAAAATGCTTCCGGATGGAAGCCTATGCAAAGAATCTATGAAGAAGACTCCAAGGTCAATCAGAACTACACCACAAATAAATAAATGGGGCTGGATTAAATTAAAAAGATTCTACATAGCCAAGGAAATGCTCAATAGAGCAAATAGACAACCTACAGAATGGGAGAAAATATTCATAGGCTAGACATCTGATAAAGGGCTAATAACCAGAATCTGCAAAGAGATCAGCAAATCAGCAAGAAAAAAAAATCAAATGACACCATTAAAAAGGTAAGTAAAGACAGGAACAGAAGCTTCTCAAAAGATGATAGGCTAATGGCCAATAAAAATTGAAAAATGCTCAACATCTCTAATCACAAGAGAAACCACATGGAAATATCACCAAACCCCAGTGAGCATGGCTTTTATCAACAAAACAATGCTGGTGCGGAAGTGGAGAGAGGCCAACACATCTGTGCTTTTGGTGGCACTACAGACTAGCTCATCCTCTCTGGAAAACAGTGTGGAGATTCCTCAAAGAACTAAGAGTAGACCTGCCATTTGATTCAGCAATCCCACTATTGGGTATTTACCCAAAGGAAAATATGTCATTCTACTAAAAACATTGCACTTAAATGTTCATTGCAGCACAATTCACAATCGCAAACATGTGGAATCAATCTCAGTGTCCATGGATACAAGAGTGGTGTGTGTATATATATATATATACACCTTGGAATACCACTCAGCCATGAAGAAGGATGATTTAATGCCTTGTGCAACAATTTAGATGGAAGTGGAGACCATTATCCTAAGTAAAGTATCTCAAGAATGGAAAAACAACCAGCATATATACTCACTACTAAATTGGAACTAACCAATAAGCACATATATGCATAGAGGGAAGTAAAATTCAGTGGAAATCAAGGAGGGGATGGATGTAAACCTACCTAATTCTACCCCCATTCTATCCCTGACTCAAGGATTACAAAAGCAGCCAGGTAACCAAAGACCATTTGTAACCCCATAATACTTTGAAATAAAAAAAAAAAAATTTAAAACACCTGTAAAGTTCAGTTTTGATGAGGCTGAGTATTTGCTGAGTAATCCCTCAGTACTTGGTACTGTGCTGAGTACATCTGTTGTTTCTTTCAATCCCTACCATCCTCTTGCCCCACAAATCTTAAAGTTTTAAATTCTCCAATGACAGCTGACAGATATTATTCTATCCTCAGGATCTCACAGATAAAAGAAAAATTGAAGCTTCCAGGGTAAATCACTTGCACAGGATGGCACAGTTAGTAAGAAGTACAGCTAAGGATTTAAGTTCAAACACGCAAACGAATTTATTCTACAAGGCGCAGGAAGGTGGGGGAGAAAGAAGGGTAGAGAGAGAAAGTTTGATTGTTTTACTTGCCAGTGTGTTGTGGATTCACATGTGTTTGTTGTCATTTGTGATTAGGAATCAGTAGTAGATCAAAATATCAATCCAGAACTTTGTGGATGAGAGGTGGGGAAAAAGAGAACCTAAAAACAAAAAAAATAAAGGAACAGAGAATACACAATTGGTGTAGAAATGGAGAAATGGAAAACACCAGGGAAGCTTAATTCAAAGAGACAGTAAAATAAGGTGGCTGGAGGAATGGATTGCTCATCCTAGGAACCCACATCCTGCACCTTGAGAGAAATGCCATTTGATGGTTTTAAGAGACACCCTGGAGGTAGATGATACCTGAGGTCGAACTCCACCTGAGAAAGTGCAAATGAAATGGAGGGCAGAATATATCACACAAAGGATATTTCAAGGCAAAAAAGAGAAAACAGGACCAAATAAAATTTATTATATTTTTAAGAGACAAAGAAAATTTTGGAGGGTGTCTGAGAAAACCCTCATGCAGACTGTGCAGCTGGGCCTGAGGAACGACAAAAAGCAAGAGCAGAAAGGCCCTGGACACAGCAGCCCCGGCCGGTCTCTCTTCATCGGGCAGCTGGGCCGCTTCATTCTCTCTGCACAGGTCAAGTTTTCCTGCCTCTGCCCACAGCATGAGAAGAGCTGCACGCAGGTCCCAGGGTGACCAGTACTCTGCAAATACCCGGCACTGCTCCCAAGAGGAAGGTTTCAGCCTGATGCAACACACTTCACATGAAATTTCTAAGGCACTGAAGAATGTTGCTGTAAAATAAATGAAGCCAAAGGTGAGGGAAGACGTAAATTGTGTGCAGCTAAAGTAAGAATGATTGAACAAAGAAAGACGAAAAAGAGATGGCATAGCATTTGTCCTTGATGCTCACAGACTCTGGAGATGGTCTGGGGTTTAACCCAGGTTCTGCTACTCACCAACTGTGTGAATTTGGGCAAGTTGTTTCAACTCTCTGGGCCTCCCTTTCTTGTCTATAAAATCGGGATGATTACAATAGTGCATGGGATTATTATGTGATTAAATGTGTTAGTATTTAAGTGTGCCTTGCCCATGGGTGATGCTATATATGGTGGCTCACTATGTATACCGTGCTATAAGATCAGTGCCATTTCGTTTTTGTAGTCCCGTAGGATTCTATTTTAATTGGTAAACTGATTCTAAAATTTATTTAGAAGAGTAAAGGCATGTGAATTAAGAACATGTTGAAAAGATTAATGAGCATGAGCTTGCTCTGTTAGAGGGGCACAGAGATCATTACCGTGTGTTACGGGTGAAAGACAAGGCCAAGGCCAACGTATTGAAGGGAAAGAGCAGACGGAACAACCCAAAGTGGGGGCTAGCCTAGAACGTGCGCTCTCCAATCTAGATACAAAGGTTTTCCAGGAAACAAGTTACTAGGAAACACGTTTCCTAAATGATAATCACTCTGCACAAAATGTTGGCAGCATCTTTTTTTTTTGAGAGAGAGAGAGAATCTCACTATGTCGTCCTTGGTAGAGTGCCGTGGCGTCCCAGCTCACAGCACCCTCAAACTCTTGGGCTTAAGGGATTCTATTGCCTCAGGCTTCCACGTAGCTGGGACTACAGGCACCTGCCACAGCGCCCAGCTATTTTTTGGGTTGCAGTTGTCATTTTATGCAGCAGTCCAGGCTGGGTTCAAATCTGCCAGGCTCGGTGTATGTGGCACTGAGCTATGGGCACCGAGCCAGGCAACATTCTTAAATGTGATCATTTTGTATTTTCTACAGGAGATAGTTAGACATCTAGAAGCAAGCCAAAGTCTTTTTTTTTTTTGAGTTTGACAGTCTCATGAATTTAGTCTGACTCTATAGACTTTGCTTCCTGAGCGATTTCTGGTTTCCATATAATTAGTAAAGGGTAAATATGATTTAATAAACACTGAAGAAATAGGGGAATAGATAAGGAAGATTTCATACAATTATATCGGCCAATGGGGCACAGATGAGAATCCGATTCAAGAATTGCTTGCATTTATTTGTTTCCCTTTCAGTTGTGTGTTTGAGAAGTAATTATAGGGCAGAAGAATTTAACAGACTTGCTGTAGGCAGAAAGATAGTGGTCTTTTTTTCACCTTTCCTCTTTAGCCAAAGAAAACTTCATGAATTATAACAATTTTGGAACAAAATTTCCTTCTACTTACATGAGGTATTCAAGAAAAGGTAGAATGGTATCCATTACCTGTTAAAAATGTTTCTCCACAACACTGCAAAGCAGGACACATTAAAACCCCTGGTTATTTGCAGAGAAAATAGTTTCAAGCTTGTAGGAATGCAGGTATTACATGTGACATTGCTCTAAGGATTCCCTTGTTTTCAATTCCAAGAAAGATGTTATAATCAGCACGCACATAGCAGTGCAGATGAAAATGCAGAGTTTACTTTGTTTCCGTGAAAAAATTACATGGCTCAAAAGAGCAGGGCCCCAGCCCCATATACCAGAGGTGGTGGGTTCAAACTCTGCCCTGGCCCAAAACTGCAACAACAACAATAAAAAATTGCATTGCTTCAAGGCCTAATTTGTAGGTTCAGGTTTGAAGAACCTAATTTGTGTGTTTGTATTTTGTCATTAAATATATATATATATATTTTCTTTTCTACTTTGCTGTGCCCTTCTCTGAACCAGCTTTTTACTTATCTTGTTTAAAAGATTGTGTTGGGGTCAACTCTCCCATCCCGGCCTTATATGAAAAAGCCAGCTGAGAAAGACTAGATCCTTCCTGGTTTGATGGTTGCCAGTGTTTTGAAATGTCCAGCCAACCATCTGCAGCTACAAACTCCCCGCGGAGAAACTGGCAGGACACAAAGAAATGGAAATCAACAGAGGAGTCGCTATGTAAGCACAAGAGCTTCTGGCAGCCTCACTGAAGGGAGACCATATCCTGGTCAGAAACCAGTTGAAAACAGAACTATTCACAATGAACACGAAATTAAAAGCATGATGTAGTGGTGACCCAGAAGGAATGTGGATGCTTCTCCAGGACTCACAGAGACCCGTGGATGAACTGTGCTTCTAGATTTTACCTCCAGCTTCTCTGAGAGTAAGTGAACCTCTGCAATCATGGCTATTTTGCCTCTAGAAATACATAATCTGACCCTAGAAATAGAAATGCCAAACATTTGCGTGGAAACCACTAAGGGCAGTACGTTATTTGAGAATTGTTTTGATTTTTTTTAAAGCAGGCCTATTTTATTTTGTATAACTAATTAGTTGGAGAGCCAAGAATTTCCATTTTTGCACCATGACTAAAGCATGTGTGGACAAATAGCCTGTGTTATCCAGCAGGCTGCTGGGTAAATTGAAAGGAATGTGACTTCATGTAGCTTCTTTACAAATATGAACTGTTTGCAAAGTTACTTGAATTACTTACTCTTTTTTGTTCCTTTTCAATTTTACTGACAGAGGAATTACAAGCATTGAAAGATACACAATTTTCTGAGTCTTGAGGTGTTTTTAACTGACTTGATAATATTGTCATTGAGAGAACTTTGGGACATATTTTTATTGACCTTGATTATGATATTAATTATATAAGGATTTTGATCTAACTTGTTGCGTACTGCATTTATTCTCTTAATCAAAGGAATTCTATCTAACAGGGACATGGCTGGATTTTTATAATCAACTTACTATTTCTAAATTACACAATTTCCCATTCAGTGAAAAGCTAACTCAATGTTTTGTGCTATTACAGTGAACAGTATTTTTTTTCCTGATATTTACAGCAAGATATGCAGTGGGAAAAAATTAGTCTTGAGAGCCAGAAGTAAGCAGATTTATGATAATTCAATTACATGAATTTTTATTCACCAATACATTCCAGCACACACCTTAATTCATGGACAGAAAGAAGAGCAGTCATGTGGGCACCATGTTTAACCTTTTAGATACTGAGGTTTACCCCAGTCCTGATTTCCTAGTTGACAATTGTAGTTTGGTTTGAACCAAGGTTTCCAGGCTATACCTGCTCTTCTGGCCTCATGATCAGGAGCTCACCTGCATTGCAGCTGAATCTCTTTCTTCATTTTTGGCCAATTATTATTTTATTTTATTATTTATTTATTTGAGATGGAGTCTCACTTTGTTACCCTCCATAGAGTACTGTGGCATCACAGCTCATAGCAACCGCCAACTCTTGGGCTTAAGCGATTCTCTTGCCTCAGCCTCCCAAGTAGCTGGGACTACAGGCGCCCGCCACAACATCCAGCTGTTTTATTTTGTTGTTGTTGTTGTTGTAGTTGTCATTGTTGTTTGGCAGGCCCAGGCTGTATTTGAACCCACCAGCTCCAGTGTATGTGGCTGGTGCCACAGGTGCCGGGCCATCTTTGGCTAATTTTTAAACATAAGTTCATGCCTTTGTTTGTTCCTTGGATGGGACACATCATAGAAGGAACCTCCAGCAACTTTTTCTGTCCTCTAGCCCTTGTCCTAGACCTGCTTTAGAATTTCTTTCTGTCTTGGCTTCAGTCATTAGAATCTCAGACTCCTCCCCTCACCCCCCCCCCCCCCCCATATTAACTTTCCATTGCTACTGTAGCAAGTGGCCACAAACCTAATGGCTTATAACAAAGCAGATTTATCAGGGTACAGTTCTGGAGGTGAGGAGAGTGGTGTGGGTCTCACGGGGCTACCAGAAAGGTGTTGGCAGGGCTGGCTTCCTTCCTGGCGGCTGTACGGGAGGATCTGTTCTCTCCACACTTGCAGCTACTCAAGGCTGCCTGCATTCTTTGGTTCATGGCTCTCTCCCTCCATCTGCAAAGCCAGCAACAGCAGATCCAGTCTTTATATTTCCTCAGTTTGATCTCCTTACCTGCCTCCCGGTTTCACTTTTTAGAACCTCCATGATTCCCTTGGGTTCACCCAGATAATCAAGTATAATGTTGCTGCTTCAAAGTCGACTGATTTAACAACCTTAATTCCACTACTTCAATTCCCTTTTGTCATGAATGTAACATTCACAAGCTGGACAATTAGAACGGGATCATTATTCTTCCCATCCTCTTTCTCTTAAACTATTCCTTGCCTTTCAGGAAATAAATAAATAGCAGTACAGCATCCCTTGCAATAAAGTGTGGTTAGGCTCCATCTCCGGCAGCACTCCCAGGGCTGCCTTGAGTAAGTCACCTTCCCATTTGAGCTGCCCCCTGAGTACCAGAAGGGGTCGGCATCTTCATGGCTTGATTCTGTCCAGTGACTGAACCATGAACCTTGGAACCAGGAGCAACCTCATCACTAAAACCACTGCAGAGAACATAGCCACCCTGTCATCTCCATCTCTTTTCAGTATGTCACTAAAGGAGGACACCACTGCCTGGGAAAGCCAGGCCTTATCAGTCACCTGGGTTTTGTTGTGGTTGTTGTTGTTAATTTTTCAGTTTTGGATTCTTTCCTGTGCCATGTATGGTCTACTAGTAAGCTCATCAGAGTCATTCTTCATTTTTATTATGGTGTAACAACACTATAATCTCTGGCATTTCATCTGTCTGCTTACCTTGCCATTTGCTCTTCCGTGCTGTGACATTACAAGAAATATATATTTAGTCTCTGCCTCCAGTTCTTGGCAAGGAGCTTCTAAAACCCTAGTTAACTTGCTGAGTGATAGGAATATTGGAGCATCTCTTATTGTAGTATTAATATTTGAGTATAATATTCAGTTTCTGCTTCCTGACATAGATTTTCTGAAACTGGGAATCTCCAGAATGATAAGAGTGTCTCTTTGTATGTCAGTGAGATGACTGGTGGCTGAAAGCCCCTGGATGGCTTCAGGACGGGGCCAGTTGCCAGAGGAACCAAGCACATGATTAGAAGGTTGAAACTTTTAGCCCCATCCCTAGACCTCCAGGGACAGAAGGTGGGGTTTGAGTTCATTACCATGGCCAATGATTTTATTAATCATGGCTACTTAATGAACCCTCCCTGAAGAGGTCTGGATGACTTCTAGTTTGGGTAAGACATCAGGTGCTGGGGAGGTGGTGCACCTGGAGGGGTCATGGAAACTTCGTGTCCCTTCCTACATACCTTGCCTTGTGCTTCTTTTCTATTTGGCCATTCCCAAGTTCTATCTTTTATATAACAATAAACTGGTAATCTTAAGAAAGATTTTCCTCTAAGAAAATGCCATGAAGTCTATGTTAACCAGTTTGATGAAAACATTTCAAACTGTATATAAAACCAGCACATTGTACCCCATGAATGCATTAATGTACACAGCTCTGATTTAATAAAAAAAAAAAAAGAAGAAGAAGTAGTGGACTGTTTTCCTGAGCTTTGTGAGTCATTCTAGCAAATTATCAAAGGAGAAGACTGTGGAAACCTCTAATCCATAGCCAGTCTGTCAGAAGTACAGGAGACTCAGATTTGTGATAGACATCTTAACCCTGGGTGGGGTCAGTCTTACATCACTGAGCCCTTAACCTGTGGCATCTGTATAACTCCATGTACAGGGTCTGAATTCAATTGAATCATAGGTTGCCCAGTTGGTGTCCACAGAGATTTGGAGGTTGCTTCATGGGGAAAACCCACACATTTGGCATCAATGTTTAATAGAGAAATAGTGTGATTATTTTCTGTTTTATATATTGTCCAGTTGATCCATTAAAGTTCTTAGCATTTTAATCACAGTTGTTTCAAATTCTCAGTCTGATAATTTCTACATCTCTGCCATATCCAAGTCTAGTTTTTATGCTTTTTCCTTTTAAACAGTATTTTTCATTTTTTTGGGGGGGGTGTCACCTTTAGCACATCTTGTAATTTTTTTTTGATTGCTGGACATCATGTACTAGGTAAAAGAAACTACTGTAAATGGGCCTTTAGTGATGTGGTGGTAAGATGTGAGGAGAGGGAAGCCCGTCTATGGTCTTCCGAGTCTGTCTCTGTCTTGTGGTGAGCCTGTAACTCTGGACGGTGACATGTGCTTCTGTTTCCAGAACCTAACTTTCTAGGGTGTTATCAGAGCTTAACTGACCTTGGGGAAGGAAAATACTCAACTCTAGCCCACTCCCCTGGGCGAGGAGGTCTAGAGTGGACTGTAGTGCCTTTAGAAGTATGATTCACAAATGTGTGCATTATGACTGGGTCCCCCTGGCATTTTATCTCCTGGGCTTGTCCACAGTGAATCTCCAGCAAGACGTCAGTCACAGTTCAGGTTCCCCTGCCCCAGCACAGGGTACCGCCAAGGTTTCTCCTCAGGGTTTCTGCTCCAGTCAGTTGTGTTCTCTGTATCTGCCCGTCTGTCTCTCTAGTTTTGGGTCAGTGATTTGCCCTGCGATCGCACCCCTCTTAGGGATCTAAGAAGAGCTACTGATTTTTCAACGTGTTCAGGCTTTTACTTGTTGGTAGGATGGAGTAGTAACCCCCAGGTTCTCTCAGGCCAGAGTGGGAACTGCTGCCCATTGCTCTTTGATATTATCAGTGTCTGAGCTGGCAGGGAGCTGGGTTACCGTTTTATGTCACCTTTGGGCTTGACTCTGGCAGGGCCTCAGCATCCGGGCAGCATGAGAATGCACAGGACTTCAGGGCTTCTCTCTATTTTTCAGGCCCTCTTTCACTGGTGCTGTTTTTGGAGAATCCAATTGTATTGTTATACTTTTTCTTTGTACTCTTTTAGATTTCGCTGTTTCTATCCAGCCCATATTATCTAAGGTTTATTTTTTTCTTCTCATACCCACACATACTCTGTATGGTGGACTCACCTTCTCTGTCTGCCGGTACTTAGATGGGGGGCTCACCCCCCAGATATGGAAACAAGGTGAGGGTGGTGGCTCTCCTTCCAGCTATCATGGGCTTGTTTCTCCTGGTAATTCAGTTTACCAGGAGTGCCTTGCATCTATTAATCTTTGCTAGTGCCATAAAGATACATATTTAATCTTGTTTGGGCTAGTGTTGTGTTACCATTGATATCAAGGTGTTTCTCTTATTCTATGTCCCAGAGATCTTGCCCCCATGCCCACTCTCCCCCACCCACCCCTGTCTGACATCCCACCATGTGGGTCAGACCCCAGGGCTCTGTCTTGGCCTCTGTCACCGCACGTGATTGTGTGTTTAGGGCTGTTGTATTAGCGTTCCCGTGCTTTCCAAATAATTTTACATTAACATGCACATTTTGATCGGTAGAATTGAAAAACTCCCATGAGTATTTTCCTTAATTTGAGGGAAAATTTAAAAAAATTGGCTGACACTTGTGTATGTGTGTGTGTATTGGGGGGAAGGGGGTCTGTGGTTCAGGATCAAGACATTTTCTAATTTTATTACAAATGGATATTTCTTCCTTTTAATTTTTGTCCATTTCAATAAGTTTGTATAGAGGAAATTGAGCAAATCACATTTTTTTCCACTTCCATTTTGAAGCTGATTTTCGTTCTTTTGTTACTTGCTTTCTTCCTTCTGAATACCACGTCTCCCAACTCGATTCATAGAGACTTTTTATTTTATCATTTAATTTCAAATATATCCCTTGTTTTTGAAACTTGTATAGACTTTTTATTTTATCATTTAATTTCAAATATATCCCTTTTGGTCCTTGTTTTTGACACTTCTATAGCTTTTTATGGAAACACACACTATGTCTCCTTACCATTCTGAAAGATTAATTTTCATGGTACTTTTTACAACCCATTTGCTTCAGTATATTTTCCCCAATGTATTTCTCTTGCAATCATCTCTTATCTTTTATGGATGTCTCTTTACCAACTACTTTACTTTGGATTTTTTTTCTTGACTATTACATGTATTTTCATTTCTCATTGTTTTCAAGTATGTTTTAATCTTTGAAAATTTGGGAGGCTTACAAAATTTCTCTCTGTTGGAAGATTTTATATTATACTAACTTATATTTCTGCTAACTTCAATGGGAATTTTAAGTCATTATTTGCTTTTCATTTTTCTTTCTTGTATTTTTTTTTTTTTAGGCATTAGATGCAAAATTTAAAAATGTTTCTCCTGATTATCACAATGAAGTTTTCTTTCTAATAATTCTGTATTTTTCCCTTCCTCTCGAGTGGCATCTATCTTTTCTTAAGTTCCAGCATCACAGGGCTCCTGATAATGACAGCGCACACTGATGCCTGTGAATAAACAGCCCGAGGTGATTCCTCCTAGAGCTTCTCACTGCCTGCAAAGAGATGCTCGTGGAATCTCTGCCCTTGCCCCAAACGGAGAATCGTCCTGCACATTCCGTAGCTAACTTTCTGCACCAGCATGGCACGTTGGTTAAGAACGAGGTCTCCAGAGTTACAGCCCTGCTTCTGCCACCATTAGCTCTGTTTGGCGAGTCACTTTGCCTCTCTCTGCCTCATTTTCCTCATCTGTAAAGTGGGGAGAACAATAAGATCTATGTCAGAGGTTTATTATGAGTGTTAAACAAATTCATATAAACCCTTTAGGTTATCCTGATCATTAGAAAGTCATCATCAAATGTTAGGTAGTATTTTTTCCTCATTATCCTCTATTCAAACTACTCCAATCTCTTGGTTCCAGTCAGACTGAACAATATGAAATTCTCTGAAATTCCCAAGATGTTTTCTTCCTACTTGCCTTTGAGTTTTGTTGCTTTTGTATTTATTAGTTGGGATTTTCCCCTCTTTTATGATTGTGTTGGAACACTTTGGAACTTCAGTTATAAAAGGTCAATAAAAGGTTAGGTTAATTACAGTCTTGAGTTCATGGCACACAAAATATTTGGTTTAAAGAAAGCTCCTGTCTTATTTTGGTTATTTATTTTATTTCAAATTCCCTCTTCACACCCGGCCTCCATTCCTGTTTCCTACTGCCAAACATAACAGTTTCATCATATCTGATGGTGACCCTTTAGTTCCTGGATATTTTTGAAAAACATGGATTGAATGTAGTGTGAATTAATATAAATAATATTGTGATACGATTCTCAGCTTTTCCTTTTTCCTTCTTTTTTTCTTTTTGAACTGGAACTATGTTTTTAAGATCTCTTCCTATGGATGGGTAGATTTCAATTCATTGCTTCTGCATCCTGCAGAGTACTCTTGGGACTATATCTATCAGAAATTGTTTTGTGACACCTGCCACAATGATCTATAATTCAGGCATCCTCTAACTATGGCCCACGGGACACATGCAGCCCGCCTAGGACATTTATCCGGCCCACTGGGTGTTTTTGCCGCTGCTGCCTGTCCTGCTTAGCAGCCGACTTGTCCCGGGACCTGCAGTCCGGCCCTCCAATGGTCTGAGGGACAGTGAACTGGCCCCCTGTTTAAAAAGTTTGAGGACCCCTGAAGTTCATCCTTGCACAGGTCCACTTTAGAAGCTCCGTGAACATTTCCTTGGGGTACATGCTCAGGAGCAGGAGTGATTGATGGTCGAGTGTTGCTAGGTAGTAATGAATTAGTAAAGAGTCCCCAAAATGACTGAAGTAGAAAACATTGTAAAATCAAACCCAAACTATACCCTCACCATCAGTGCACAAAGCTGCTTTCCCATTAGACTGCTTAACAGTGCCAAGTGTGGGGGGACAACAGCCTTTGACACTATTCACTCTTCTGATTTTTGCCAGTCTAGTGAGAGAAAAATCATAGTTTATAATTGTTATAGTTGTTATTTATTTCAGTACCGAGCATCTGTTCCTATGTTTTGTTTTAACCTTTTGGCTTCTTTCTTCTCTAGACATGTAATTGGAAACAGCTGTTATACTGTTTCTTTTGGTTTGATTTTACAATGTTTTCTACTTTAGACCTTCCCATTTCCTTCCTTTCTCTTCTCTTATTAAAGGAAACAGGTCAAAATGTGCAGGAGACACATGAGTGTGGTTCAGCAAACCTGGGCTCTTCTCTGCAAGAATTGTCTTAAGAAGTGGAGGACGAGAGGAGCGACCTTCTTGGTACGTTTCAGGGTCTATGTGTTCTCACATCTAGAGGGTGAAAAAGTATTTCCTCAGGCAACTCTCTCTCCATTATTTAACATTTCATGTATATATCGTCTTATTAGCAGGCTAGATGTTTTTCCCCAATACTGGGTTCTACTATTTTTCCAAATACACCTTATTTTTCAAATAAAATAAAAAACACATCATTATGATATGTTCTTGTGGAGGAATTTTTTTCAAAGAATTCATATTAAGGAACTCCTGGAAAAGAAAGCTACATCTGTATACTGCAAAGATGAAATATTTATCATCTGAGCTCGTTTGAATCTCATGAAGGGGTAGGTGTAGGAGGTCAGGGCTGAACAGCTGAAGAGGCAGACTTTAATCCAGAGTGAATTCAGAGAGTGATCGAGTATTTAGAAAGCATCACAAGACAGGTTGTTCTATTCCTCCCCAGTTGCGCTATGGATACAGATAATGTCCATTTGTAGGAAATAATGGGCATATAAGCAAACAGGAAAATAAATGGGCATTTTGAACTTTTAATTTTATTATAATAGTACTTAGTTTCTTCTGAACATAAGAATGATTCAATGCTGTTTGTGTAGAAAATTCAGTAAATTCAGAAAAATATAATAAATAAGTTAAAGTCACACATACAATGCTCAGAGTTCAAGGGCTGGTGTGTTATCATATCTTATGATTTGTGTGTGTGTGTTTATTCAAGAAATATATATTAAATGCTTGGATTATAAGTAAATAAATTATATAAATATTTCTGCGTGGGGCAAGGATTACATAAATAATATAAAAGTTGGAAGCTTACCATATATATATGTTTTGTTTCCAACCTCTGAACTCTTTTTCATGTAAACATTATATCTATTTTCTTATCTAGATACATACAGACAGAGAGCAACACATATGCCTAAAAGATGACGATAGGAAGACTATTCCTAACAACTCCTTTAAAAAGATTTGTGTCTAGAATTATAACTAAATAATAAAATGGGATCTTACCACTAGGCTTCCAATGCATTCTGCTCATTTCCAATTCCAGAACGTGGTTACAATGACAAAGACTTTTAAAATTCTTTTTGTGGGCAAACTTTTGGGACTATCTTCTTCCACATTGCAGAAAACTGAAGCTAAAGGTACGACTTGCCAACTCCATGCCACCTACCATTTAATTATGGTTGTCATTGAGGTCTCAGCAGGAGTGTAAACTATTGGACCATTCATATTCCTACCCTTACATAAAAGTAGAGGAAACTTAAGTTCTTGATTATAGTTGGAATTGATGTACACAGCTCTGTCTGGGTAGACAATGTGAAATATTTCAAAATGTGAAGATTAAAGACATTTAAAAACCGAAAGACTGGAAAAATGGCATACAGTCTGTATAACTGTCTTAAATCCTTTGTGAACTAGTCCTCTGGGGCCGAACTTCTATCACTTTGCTTTCTTTTTCTCTCACTGCTCTGCAGGAATGGCTTTTCTCGTTTCTGGCGGTCCTGTTTGTATACCTGAGATCCTGGAACTTACATCAGGTTTATGACTATCATGACATTCCTGCAGCGTATCTGGGACGTGTCGACCATTTTAATGATTCTGATTATGTTATTGCATTCGCACCTGAATCCAACACCACCAAAGAGATAATGGACAAAGTGGCTTTAGCCCCATTCATGAAAGGTCGGTTCTCTGCCTGTTTGTTATAATTCCCTTGTTTGCAAAAGACAAATTCATTTTGCAATATCCTTGATGAATTTGTTAGATATTCCAGTGTCTAGAGGTTATTGACAACATTCATGTGTGTTCCTTTCCAATTTCAAGGAGTTTTTTATTTTTATTAAATCATAGCTGTGTACATTAATGCAATCATGGGGTACAATGTACTGGTTTTATGTACAATTTGAAATATTTTCGTCTAACTGGTTAACATAGCCTTCGCAGCATTTTCTTAGTTACTGTGTTGAGACATTTATATTCTACATTTAGTAAATGTCGCAGGTACCCTTGCAAGATGCTTTCTTTACTCTGTTCATTAGCGTCTTATTTAGAAAATTCTATGTTAAAAGGGTTATCTTCATTACAGTACATAGCAAAATGAGATATTCCAGGCCCAACTTTAATATAAAACGCCTCCAACATAATTGTGTGTGGGATTCTGTCTCCTAGCCACACAGAAATCTTACCTAATGACTGTCTTTTTTCACATGGCAGGAAGAAGAATCACGGGGTGGCCTGATGAAAAAGGCATGGATGACCTGGATGTAGACTCCTCTGAAGATGTCGTGAAAGTCCTCTTTACTGATTCCTTCTCATATCATCTGAAATTTGAATGGGAATATAGAATGCCCGAGATTAATGAACACAGAGACCATTCAGGTAGCTTTCCTAGTAGAAAATGCATTATGTTATATCAGTTATATTATATATGTTATATCAGTCACCACAAGGAGACCCATGTGAGAGCTAAAGTGAAATGACTGATAACGGCACAAAAGTACAGACCATATGCTTTAAATCGCTGAACGTAAAATAGATTCATCCTTATTAAATAAAACTCACATTCTTAACTGTGTTGTTTTATTAAGAAATTATATTTACTATTATTTTTATGTTGCTGCCAAATAAAACCTCAAAAGGGCTTTTCCTCAATGATTTCCAAACATCTAAGAAAAATGTAGTGCTTTCTTGACACAAGCAACAGAAGAGCAAAGCTCAAACAGAAACCTGCTTGATAATGAAAGGAATTTTAATATTGAGTGAAAAATCATGGAAAACTGGTCTTCAGAACACTAATAAAGCCATTCTGGTGAATTGCCTTGGGGTGTGTGTTCTATAAACTTCAAAAGTGAAGACTTACCATCTGCTGTGTTATCATGGACTTTGAGTGCATTTTGGAACCCTTGGAATTTTGATTTTTTCTATCACCAAGATTGTCCCATCTCATAATAATGGGTGTGTTCTTTTTCTGAAGCTCATTGTGACATAATAAATGAAGATATCATGTGTGAATCTCTATCGTTCTGGGAAAGAGGTTTTGTAGCTTTTCAAGCTGCCATTAACGCTGCTATTATAGAAGTGAGTATTAAGAAACCTAATTGCATCACACGTTAAAGTTTGGTAGATGGTGACTGCATTGATCTGTCTGTGTTGCTATAAAGGAATACCTGGGGCTGGGTGATTTATAAAGAAAAGAAATTTATTTGGTTCCCAGTCCTGAAGGCCGTCGAGAAGTATGACACTGGCCTCTGCAAGGGCCTCAGGAAGCCTTCACTCATGGAGGACAGGGAAGGGACAAAGCATCACATGGCCAGAGGACAGAAGCCAGAGACAGGGAGGGAGGGTGCCACACTTTGTTTGACAACTAGCTCTGGTGTGAACTGTTCATAACAAAATGAGGAATGCAATCATTCTCACCCCTTCCTGACATCAGCAATATGATGGATTTTCCTATTCTATAATTGATTCACTTCATGAATGAGACATACTATGTTGAATGACTTCTATATTCCAACCACTGTGCTAAGTACTGGGGTTCAGCAAATAAGTAGAATGCAGGCATTTTTGTCCAGGGATACTGGTAATGGGGGAGATAGGAATATGGATCTGATGTCATAATACGATTTTAGGTTCTATCATAGAATTTTTAATTTTTTTATTTTTTTTAAGAGACAGGCTCTTACTTGTCACCCCCACTGGTTGCAGTGGCATGATCATAGCTCCCTGCAGCCCAGACTCCTGGGTTAAAGAGATCATTCTGGATCATCTTCCAGAATAGCTGGGGGGCACTTGCCCCTCCGCTTGGCTCTACTATAGAATTTTAAGTGGTGTAGCAGGCGAATAATGAAGTAGGAGATTCTCCGATGAGAAATCTCAGGGAAGACTTGCTAGCTGATCTGCCATTCCAGCTGGTTTTAAAACCTAATAGCATTTTGTCCAGTAAAGATGGCAAATAGGGACATTCTAAGAAGTCAAGACAAAATCAGGAGCATTTCAGCCACTACGCGAGGCTGTATACATGGATCTGACAATTAGGCTCATGAACTCACCCTAGATAGAGTGCTACACGCCTCACTGCTGAGTATCACTTTGGTCACCTTCAAAGTTCTCCCCTTGGGAAGCTGTGCCCTGATGCCAGCGCCCAGTCCACCCTTCAAAGCAGCTTTGGAACTATTTTTCTGAAATAACTGTGAGAATTACCGTACAGCACACAAAAACACAAGACAGCGGTAATGAACGCCACTCAGCAAGACATTGCCACACGTTGACACAAACATAGTTGTGATATACCAAGGCTATAAACCTTACTGATTTGTTAGTACAGTGTTGCCAATATAAGTAGATGGTGTCAAGTTCATTAATCTAATTGTGAGACCTGATGGCAGCTCTGATGGCCATTCAGAGAGTTCCAAAATTCTTCTGAATGGTGGAGTAGGTGCTGGCATTGGTTCAGAGCTTCTCAAGGGGCGTACTTCGACCATAGTGGGATTCAGTAATGAGGTATGTAGCACTTTTTCTAAGAAGAGTTCATGAACTTAACTGTCCAAACTTCGTGTGTGTGTGTGTGTAATGTACATGATTCCTGATATTATAATTAGATCATTGATAACAGTTTGTTCATTGATATTTTTCTCTAGGTTACAACAAATCATTCAGTGATGGAACAGCTGATGTCGGTTACTGGCATAAATATGAAGATATTTCCTTTTATTGCCCAAGGAGGAGTTGCAACTGATTTTTTGATCTTCTTTTGTGTTATGTCTTTTTCTGCATTTATATACTATGCCTCAGTCAGTGTCGCACAAGAAAGACAATACATTAAGTCACTGATGACAGTGATGGGACTTCGAGAGTCGGCATTCTGGTAATTGCATGACTACAATCCCTCATGTAGCATGAATCAACAGACTACCTCAGCTGCTGGGACTCTCAGGCCTATAAACTACCGTATTTAAACTTTCTTCTTTCATAAAGCAGTTCATTATAAATTATATGGACTAGATGCACATATAGGCTTAGTAATTACTAAACAACTCTTTTCATACCTCTTGGATTTAAAGCCTGTCCTGCAGACGTCTTCCACCCCTCAGGGCACTAACAATACAGCTGATGGCTCTCAGTTGCTAGTTACCACGTATGGGTGAGCTCAAATTACAGAAAGTTCAAGTATCCAGTGTTCAATAGAATGTATGTTTTCACTGATGACTTATATTAGAAGTGGTGGCTGATTTTGACTCAATGTTGAATGAGTCATTACACCCAGAAATGGCACCTGTTATGCTCTTTATACACTGAGACGTCCTTAGTGGAGGCAGCGTAGCAGAGTGATGAGAATCCAGGCCAGGGAGTCAGGAAGCCACGAGTCATCTCCAGCTCAGCATTTTGTAGCTGAGATGTAGATAGGAAAATGAGCCAAACTCTTTAAACCTTAGCTTTCTTTTCAAGAGAAGATTGGTAATAATATCTCATGGCTTGTAAGGCTTAAAAGAAAGAGGAATATTTAAAGTGCTTTACTTGGTGCTTAAGAGTAAACACTTAGTATTAGATGTCAAGTGATAAAATTTTGGAAGTGTTGTGGCCTTGTGTTTTCTAACGCAAGTAAGAAAACAAGGTTTCAATCATCAGTCATGGCACAATTTTTAAATGAGTTTAGCCAAGAAATGTATTAGAGACAGATCGTGGTAAAAGTGTGAGTTCTGGAGTCAGAAACCAATAGTTTGAATCTTGAACTTGTCCTTTACACTGTGTGATATTATTCTCAGTGTTAAACAAGATCGTGGAACATACAGGAGAGTCCTTGGTGGATGCTGTGCAGCCTTGAAGAGAATGGTAGACGCTGTTGAGTAGGAAGACGACACATTTTTAATGTTGCTGATCTACACCAGATTTATTTATTTTTCTACAGAAGTGTCCAATACCCTGCATGTAGAAATGGAGAAGATGGATTAATAGTTTAGTTTAGAATGAGAATTTTTTTCTGGTTTCCTTTTTGTAATAAGATCGTGTAACTCAATACTGATGAAGATTTGATCACTATGTTTAAAAAATGTTAAAATTCCCTAAGGAGTCAGAGGAAAACAACCAATATGATCATAAAAATAATTCCATTAAGAAGGATTAAAAATCAGAGATTTTTTTTTCTCCTGTAAGAAAAGGCTATAGCATTTTATTTGTAAATTTTATTTGTAAATTTCATCCATTTAAATGAAATTAAAGGATGGCTTAATAGCATTCATATAGAGCAATTTCAGACGAACAAAAGTTTATTGTGAAATGAATTATTACAGTTAATGATATTAAAAGCAAGAATATGACGCCATGTTCTTAAGTAAAGAAGAAGCTAGCTGTTCACTGGGGACCCTGTATAAACCAGTTGCCATCTTTAACCCACAAGATATGTAATTTTATTTAATGCTCTTATTTTTCAGGAGAGAAAGCTAAAGTTTAAAGAGATTCAGTAACTACCTCTCAGGATTACATAGTTTTTTTTTTTTAATTATTAAATCATAGCTGTGTACATTAATGCAATCATGGGGTACAATGTGCTGGTCTTATATACAATTTGAACTGTTTTCATCAAACTGGTTAACATAGACTTCATGGCATTTTCTTAGTTATTGTGTTAAGACATTTGTATTCTACACCTAGTAAATTTCACATGTACCCTTGTAAGATGCACCGTAGGTGTGGTCCCACCAATTACTCTCCCTCCTCCCATCCTCCCTACTCCCCACTCCTCCCTCTCCCCTTTTCCCTTCTTTTTGAGCTATAATTGTTTCATAGTAAGACTGAGTACATTGGATACTTTTTCTTCCATTCTTGAGATACTTTGCTAAGAAGAATATGTTCCAGCTCCATCCATGTAAACATGAAGGAGGTAAAGTCTTCATCTTTCTTTAAGGCTGCATAATATTCCATGGCGTACATATATCACAATTTATTGATCCATTCGTAGGTCGATGGGCACTTGGGCTTCTTCCATGTCTTAGTAATTATGAATTGGACTGCAATGGAGAGAATGTGAGTGAGATCTATGTGCCTGGAAAGCGTTTTTCTTGTAAAAGAACTTTCTTCCTGTTTTTTTGGCATTGGTACTGATGAAGGACACATCTACGTATCTTCATTTCTCTGTATATATCTACATATATATCTGTGTCTGTCCATGCCCTGTGTCTGTGTGTATTTCTGTACCATACCTAATCATCTATAGCCGCAGTTGGCAAACTGAAACATTTTTGTATAATTTGCACATTAGGAATGGCTTTTACATTTTTAAATGTTTGCAAAAATCCAAAGATCAATACTATCATGTGGCACCTGAAAATTTATGTAAAATTCAACTCTTCTTGTCTACCAACACATGTTTATGGGCTCACAGCCCGTCATTTAAATGTTACTTACTCTGCTTTTGGGCTACAGAGACAAAATTGATTGCAATGGAAATGGTGCGGGCTGCAAAGCCTAAAATAGCTCAACATTTGGGAAAAAGCTCTGCTCACACTGGCGTCATAATCTATTTTTTGAGCAAGCTGCTTACACAATTACTAAAAGAACTTGTCCAGCACTGAGAAGTCATCATGGACGTCTTCCTAGAACAGTGCTCCCTGGAGACGTCTCCCAGCTGTGCTCATTGTCCCACCCAGCTTTTCTTAATTTGCAATTAGTATCCATTTTACCTGTTTTCTTGTTTGTTACCTACCTCGCCCTATAGACTATGAGTTTCAGGGCAGGGAAGTTTTCAGGTTTGCTAGTTATTGCACCCCATGTACCCCGATCCGTGGTGAGAGTCACAGATGTAGCAAAAGTTTGCTCAGTACGGGTTTACTCAGCAAGGATGAAGGAAGGAGTGACGAGGTAACGGCCTCTGAACTGACGCTTCGCTTCCCTGCCAGGCTTTCCTGGGGTTTGATGTACGCCGGCTTCATTCTTATCATGGCCACAGTAATGGCTGTCATTGTGAAGTCTGCACAAGTTGTCGTCCTAACTGGTTTTGCGGTGGTCTTCCTCCTCTTTCTCCTCTATGGCCTGTCTTTGGTAAGTTGATGATTTTAATCCCTCTCTCTCATTCTCATCACCTCCCCTTCCCGCCACTCATTTGTCACCTGTTCTCTTTGTAATCTTTGCATGAGACAGTATGGAGGGGTGGAAAATTGATGCAATGTGCTTTTATAAAATAAAATTCCTTTTGTGTGTCACTGACGGTTCTCAGTGAACTACAGACCAGCTGACATTTTTCTCTCCTCTCAGATAACTTTAGCTTTCCTGATGAGCGTGCTGATAAAGAAACCTTCCCTCACTGGCTTGGTTGTCTTTCTCCTTATTGTCTTTTGGGGATCCCTGGGATTCACAGCCTTGTACTCACTTCTTCCTGCGTTTTGGGAATGGACCTTGTGTCTTCTGAGCCCCTTTGCCTTCACTGTGGGAATGGCCCAGGTAAGAGGTGCGGTAACTATTCTATGTTCTACAAAAAATTCAAATAATTCATGCAACATGTTCTAAGCACTGAAATTTCCTCCTACTTTTGCAAAAATGAACACTTAAGTTAGTGGTTCTTCCTAATGCTGCGACTCACAGGTTGAGAACTGCTGACTTATGTGATACAAGAGATTTTTATTCTTTTCTTTCTGCATAATCAGTTTTTTCTTAAGTTCCTAAATATAGGATGATGCTTCATTATTGATGTGTTTCAGCTTCTACTTCTAGTTGGCTATCCTTGGAAACATTTGTCCTGTTTAGTGTTTCAGGAACTATCACAAACATTTGAAAGCCAGAAATTTGGGAAAAAATAATTTTTTATTTTTTAATTGTCCATTTCTACATGAAACTGAACTTCCTCTTAGAAAAGTGAATTTTGATTTCATCACTATAAGGTGCCACCCAGAAGGTGGTGTCTCATCCACACTCACTGTGTCCTACTATGGTCAGGAAGAAATTGTTCTTCTGTCTCCTGCCAGCCTCTAAAGTTCATCCACCCTCCACGTTTGTAGTCTGAAGTGGAGTGCCCTGTGCAGAATGTCCTGCTCTTCCCCATCCCGAGCCTGATGGAGTCCTCCCTAGGTCCTGCTCAAGTATCACCTTCGTTGGGTTTGTTTCCCCTCTTAGAAGACTCACCTGGTGCGGCCTGTGGCTTCCTTAGTTCTCAGAACCAACATCCATTACTTTCCCAACTTGCTTTCAGCTGGATAATTACCTTGCTAGTGAAGTTATCTTCCAATAGGTCTGAGCTCTGTAAACACAGGAATTATGTCTTACTTACCTTTGTGAAGCCAGTGCAGAAATAAGACAATAATAATTCTTAATGCCATAGTAAGCCTTTTTAATTCAGTGTATCCTTTTTATTTCAGCTCATACATTTGGACTATGATGTGAATGCTGATGCCCATTTGAATTCTTTGCACAATCCACACCTCATCATAGCGACTCTTTTCATGCTGGTTTTTGATACTCTTCTTTATCTGGCATTGACATTGTATTTTGACAAAATTTTGTGCAGTAAGTATTCAACACAATTATCAATTACACGTCTTCAAAATTACTCTACAATGTATTAAAAATAAATTAGCAAGCACTAAAAAGGTTTCTAGGAGAAGTCCAATGATATTCTCCTTTGCTTTTAGAGTCACTTTCTAAGACTTTCTACGATAGCATGAGTTCAGGCTTAGTATTAAATCGATCACATTGACATGTTGCCCTAGGTGACTGTGATTGTGGAAGTGATGACTGACACGTTATTCAATTGCCTCCTGCTCATGTAGCTGAGTATGGACATCGACGTTCTCCCTTGTTTTTCCTGAAATCTTTTTGGCTTAAACACCAAAGACCTGATCACATGGCCCTTGAGAATGAAATAGATTCTGACCCTTCGTCTGATGACTCTTTTGAACCAGTATCTCCAGAATTCTATGGGAAAGAAGGCATCAGGTAACCAATAAATTCCATGGAGTTGCAAATGCAGAATAGGACAGAGACCAGCGCTCCATCAGGCAAAACATGATGTGCAAAGATCCCCTCTGTGCCCCTCGGAATCTACCTGTGGGTTCCACATTCATGAAAGTATAGACTCATTTTTCATTGTATTTCATTTCTTCACATTCTCAGCATTTACATTTACATGCTATGTCAACAAGCATCAACAAGTAAACAATCTTCAAATTTCCATTTTCCTCTTTATGTCTCTGGTTTCTCCTCTTCATGTTTTTCTCTGTCTGCCAGTCTCCTTGTGACAAACACAGCCATCATGTCCCTTGTTGTTCTCTGCGCCCTTTTTTTTTTTTTAGTAATCTACTCGGTCTCTTTCATTTTCATTTCATAACTTATAATAAAATGGAGGAGAAAATGCAAGTGATGCATGAAAGGGAGAGAGACATTCTAGAGAGGGGGGAAGGAAACCTGAGAAGGTAGAACACTAGTGCTGTGTGTACCTTCCCTCTGAGATGATATAAGCACTTTGATGGCTGATTGCCTTGATTTTCTAACTGATAAAAATCTCGAGTTCCCTAGAACTTTGGTGAAATTTTGTCAATCCTTCAATATTTTGTTAATCTCTCCCTCAATAAAACCTTTCTGATCTGTCCTCTACTAATATATTTTGACTCTGAACATTTATGATAGTATATTTACAGTTTCTAAACATTTAGTTTATTAAAACACAGGTCCAAGATGAACAGATGATAGAGAGTAGCGTTCTCTCATTCTCATGAGTTACTGTTCTGTTCTCAGAAATTGTGATCTCCCTCTGATCTGGAACCCTAAGTCCTTTATGTTCTTTCTGGTGCCCACATCAGAATCAAGTCCCATCAGAAAAGTCATAGAGAGCCTTGAATGATGAAGGAAGGTGTTTATATTTACTCACCTCCTGGGCAAGGAGGAAGTTAGTAAAGATTTCTGAAATGTGAGCAACAAGATTAGTCTTATGTTCTATGAATGTATCCCCATCAATGAGCGGAGGTATTGCAAGCAGAGTCTCACATAGCTGAATGTCAAGATAGCCTAGAAGATTTTGTCTGTGGCATGGCTACTCAAGACTGCCTGTCTCATTTTGTTGCTGTGGTCTGTCCTGCATCAAAAAGACAAATGCACGGAGTTATGAAGCTCTGGTTCATTCTGTCCTAGAGGCCAAGCATGTTTGGCTCATAATTACCCCTCAATAAAGAAGGCAGAAGAACAAAATGCCAGATAAAATGCATTATTGTGTCAACCACATATAGATCCTACCTGATATAGAATCTACTGCTTAAATATTAAAGGTGAATTCCAGCAAAATAAATGAGAAAAAAATTCATGTTGCTTAGATTAAATGAGGGAATAGGCAAGCTGGTACCTATTATTGCTGGGGAAAAAGTAGGTGGGTAAAGAGAGTCCAGAGAAAGCCAAGCAACTTGACCAAGGGCTTAGAAAGAGACAGTGTTTGAACCCATACATGCTCAATGGTAAAGCTATTGCAGCTGAATGTCCCTCTTCTCATTAATGCTTCCATATTTGACTGAACTATACTTGTTTTAGGGACTGAATTGTGTCCCCTCGGAATCTATATGTTGAAACACTAACTTTTAAAGTAGTGGTGTTTAAAATATAAGGCCTCTGGAAAATAATTAGGGTTATGGGAGATCATAGGGGTGGACCCTTCATCATGGGATTCCTATTATTTATAAGAAGAGACACAACAGAGCTCTCCCTGCCATGTGATGGGACAAAAAGAAGGTGGCTGCATGCAAGTCAGCAAGAAAGCCCTCACCAGAAGTCAATTCTGTTGATGTTCTGATCTTGGACTTCCCAGCCTCCAGAACTCTGAGAAAGGAAATGCCTATTCTATAAGCCACCCAATATTTTGGTATTGTGTTCTAGGAACATGAGCAAACAAACTACCTGTTGGTTTGTTATGATAATGTGAGAAAATAATGCTGGTAAAATGCAGAGGTTCTAGTTTATAGTAGACCCTCAATTCATTTTAAATATTTTTCTATGCATTAATTTTTTAAAAACATATCTTTTTTTTTTTTTTTAAATCCTTTTCCACTTTTCTCATCCTCCCTGGAGGTTTACTAGGTTCCAAGCATTTTGTGTTATGCATATATTGTTTTATTTACAATTCAATCCCATATGATAGTTAATGTTGTCATCCCCATTTTACTGCTGAAGAACTCAACTCTGTAGACTCTGAGCACACAGTATTTGCAACAGAGCTAGTGTGTGGCACACCTGTGACTTCACCCAGAGCATTTTGACTCCAAAGCCCTGATCTTTCTGTTTTGCTGTGCTGTTTCTTTTCTTTTCTCTACCATAGTTTCTCCTCACTGTTTATTTAATCTCCAGCTTTCCTCATATTGAATCACTTGTCACAATTCTTACAGCAACATACTTCCATGTACTAGCTGTGCCCTCCCTCCACATCAAGGCCTTCAGTGATCAGAAACACGACTAGTAATGAGATGCCTGTGTGCTTCTGCCAGTGTCTGTGTGAAAGCAAAGAACCCCCAGATTTCCTTTGAGGCTTTGTTCCTGCCTCAAAGACTTGATTGATTCATCCTCTACTCATCTCCACAATTTTCTAAAATCATTTTCCTCTTTTTTCAGAATCAGAAATCTTAAAAAAGAATATTTAGGAAAGCATGAAAAAATAGAAGCTTTGAAAGGTAATCAAACACCATATTTAACAGGGTTGCTTGGGTTTAGTGACCACTTCACTGTTGGGAGTGGAACAGAGATTCCAGATGTCATGACTCTTTTTTACCTGAACACATTGCATTTTATTCCAAGTAAATAAAAACCTATATGACAATCTTAAAAAGTTGCATGTAACATTAATAATCTTGTGGGTTTAAAAATCTCGAAAAGTAGTATCAGAAAGTTCTTTATATTCAAAATGCATTACATACTCTAGTCCTAAATCCTATATCTGGCTTTATTACAGGCAGGCTCTCTTTAGTGGTAACACTGCTTTTATTCAAAAATTATTCATCACATAATGACCTATCATGAACTATGCTACAACTATAAAATGTGTATCAAAGGAGATACAATTTTGAAAGAGAGAATTTTAAGAAAAGTATAGAGTATCACTACCCAGATATATTCATGATGTAAGAAATTATAAAACTTTCAGAGAAGTTACTGTGTATGATAGAAGTATAATTTTTAAAATATGATTCCAGGTCTAGTGTTTGACATATATGAAGGACAGATCACTGCTCTTCTTGGTCACAGTGGAGCTGGAAAAACCACCTTGTTAAACATACTTAGTGGACTGTCGGTTCCAACATCAGGTAAGAGGACAGTTATTTAAGGACAGGTATGTGGGTGAAAGAATTAACTGTGCATTTTATTAGTTTCTTTAGTGAACTTCAATAGTTAAATCAACTATTTGTTACATTCAGGTATCTAAAATAAAAATTTTAGAAGTTTGTTTTTCTTTTATTGAATTGTATTTATTTAGAAAAATGTTATTTATGTTTTAAATATTTCACAAGTAGCTTTGTGATTATTCAGCGACTAATTACCATGCTACGTGGATCAGATATTACTGTTAACACTACATTTGCCATCAGCCAACTGTGTATTCCTTACAGGTAAAGTATATTGAAATGAATATAATCACTGGCATACATTGTTTGTATTTAAAAATATCCTCGATGCCCTCTGCGTGTAGGTTCGGTCACTATCTATGATCACACACTTTCGGAAATGACGGACTTGGAGACTGTCAGAAAGCTCACTGGAGTTTGTCCACAGACCAACGTGCAGTTTGGCTTTCTCACCGTGAGAGAAAATCTCAGACTGTTTGCTAAAATCAAAGGGATTCTGCCACATGAGGTGGAGCAACAGGTACATGAACAAGTGAGGCGCCACACAGCCATGAGTGTGAAATGTTTATCAATAAACATTCTGGGTTTTGGACTAATGATTCTTTATTTGTTTAGGTACAACAAGTTTTACGAGACTTGGAGATGGAAAATATTCAAGACATTCTTGCTCAAAATTTAAGTGGCGGACAGAGTAGGAAACTCACTTTGGCGATTGCCATTTTAGGAGATCCTCAGGTAAGTCAAGCTGAAATGACTGGTGAATCAGGCTGACGACTATGCAACTGTTTTTTTAGATGCAACTCAACTTGCCAATGATAAATGCAAGAGAATTTTACAATGCACTGTGAAGTACTGAAGGGTCTCTCCCCTGTGCTTTGAAGAAGAAACTTGCCTGAAGGAGAATTATTTCACTTGCTTTCCCACCGTCCAGGTTCTGCTGCTGGATGAACCGACAGCTGGGCTGGATCCTCTCTCCAGACACCGAGTGTGGAACCTCCTGAAAGAGGGGAGGTCAGATAGAGTGATCCTCTTCAGTACCCAGTTTATGGACGAGGCTGACATCCTGGCTGGTAATGTCTGGTTTTCTCCATGTGTGTTAGTGAGGAATCAGGGACACGTGTGGAGTGGGCCTAGGTGTGCTCCACAGCTGTGTCTCACTGGGGACTGCTGTGGCCATGAGAGGAGGACTTTGCTCTCATGGCATTGAATGTCTGCACCCCAGTATACCTTGTCCCACAGAAGTATTCTTACCCCATTGCAGAGCTAATTGGTTGTAAAATATGTCACATACTCTCAAAGCTATCATTGTATTATTCAGCGTTAATGCCAGCTGATTTGTCCTTTAGATAACACAATAGTTCTTCTAAATATGCTAGAGAATCAATTAATATAATTTTAGTTGCTGGATGACAAAAGAAAGTGGTTTACATGTGGCTGGGCTTAGGATGTATCTTTTTTGGTATGTTGTGCTCCCAAAATACATTATTTGTTAAAGGATTCACTCTTTTGTAAGTTGTAAAGAAATAACTCCTTAATGCAATTTATCTTTTTGTTCTTTCTAAATAGACAGGAAGGTCTTCATGTCTGCTGGGAGGCTGAAGTGTGCAGGCTCTTCACTGTTCCTGAAGAAGAAATGGGGTATCGGGTACCATTTAAGGTACAGCTCTTAATATGGGGGCATGTGGGAACATGCTGGAAATCTGGGGGCAGGTGCTATCAGCATCAATATATTGAAGTCGATTGGCATGTAGACCTATAAGCTCATTCTAAAAGAGCTACATAGGAACTTAGGCACCACTGCCCTCTTTTCTAGCTGGAAAGTAGAATATGTGAGTTTGTAGACATTGAAAATAGAAGGGTGATCCATGTAGGCTTAAATGAAAATTTTTGAAAAATATTTTCACAACACATTGGTAAGAGGAATTTATTGATGTTCCAACCCTTTGTCTTACCATAGTTTTGAAGTTTTGTTCATCTTGATGTTTTCTTTTTTTTCTTTATTTTATTTCATTTTTATTAAATCATAGCTGTGTACATTAATGCAGTCATGGGATACAGTGTACTGGTTCTAAATACAATCTGAAATATTTTCATCAAACTGGTTAACATAGCCTTCATGTCATCTTGACATTTTCAATAGCCTCCTCTGTAGTCTCCCTGGCTTCATTTTCTCCACTATTCTTTCGTTTCTCCTTCTCTTCTTTAATTATTATCATTATTATAAATTTCTATTAAGAGTTGTCTGTATTTTAGTCACTTGGTATTTGCACATAAAGTATCTACATTATCATATTTGATCCTCCAAATAATTCTAAGAAGATGGTATGTTATACATTTTTGACAAGTGAGGATAGTACATGTTAGACAGTTTTAATACCCTGTAACAGTTTATAAGTAGTAGAGTCTTTGGATCAAGATTATAGGTGTAATGTGGACCAGTTTCTATACTTTGCACTAAAATATGAATATTTCTTTAAAAATAATTCAAATCGCTTCATCTCCGGTGGTTGAATTCATTTCTCCATTATTTATTCTCAGCACTTACTTTGAGCGAATTCGCCATTCCACCATTATTGCCTATTGCAATCCAATTGAATCAGTATCCTCTGACTAAAACTAACACTCACTGTTCTCTAAGTATGTGCTATAGCTCAGCTGCCTTGTTTCTGCTGGAGGAAGGATGCCTGCCTAACCTGTCCTCTTTCCACTGATTTACCAAGGCCAAATCTTACCCATTCCTGAAGATTTTCTTGTGAGCATTTTCTCCTTACTGAGCAACCTAGAAGAGCATCTTCTTTTTTGGAACCCTGAAAGCACTATTTTTGAGTTGTTCCTAATTAAATTCTTTGATCTTCTATAACTTCAATTAAAAAGAAGCAACACTAATACCTATTTTGCATTTCAGGCTAAGAAATACTGAGTGCATGAATAATTGAGAAGGTGTCGAGGGTTTAACTGAGTTAACTCAATCTCCCTTTCCCTCACGTCTAGGACACACTGATTTATATTATCGTTAGGTCACAGGCTTCTCTACGGAAGCTGCTGCCTTTTTCCTATCAGGATACTTGACAATACTTAGCACAAGGCCTTGTAAGCACAGAATAACTTTCTTAATTTTTTTTTTAGGTTTGTGTCATCAGTCAACGTTGACGTTCTCATCACTGTGTCACCTCCGTCCAATTCAGTGGATGTGACTTGTAATGGGGTTTCTCAACTCCAATCACTTAATGAAAAACTTTATATATTCTTATCAAAAGACAGGCCAGCTTTCACTTGAATAAATTTTAGATTAAAAAAAAAAGATAAAATTAGCTATTATCTAGTGAGGATTTGCTTAGTAGAAGGTCCTATTCTTTCTCATATGCAATTTTTCAATTTGGTCTTTAGAAGTTCTCTAGAATGTTGGGTATAATTTTGTCTTATAGATGAAAAAACGGATGCTCAGAGGCATTAAGCAACTTCTCTGAGTTCTGGACCTTTTGATAGCATGACATTAAGACCATGCTCTTAATGGCTGTACAAATGACCTCCATTTTTTGTTTTACCCTTTTCAAGTCCTAGCTTCTGCATGCATTACGGCAAAGGGGGAATTTGAGGTTGGGTTTTTCAATAGATCTGGTCAAAAATAAACATTCCACTCTCTTTACCTAAACAGAATCTGGCTTAATAGCTCTTTTCCCCAGAGTCATTGGGGAAATGAAGAGTCATTGAATTATCGTATCTGATTCCAATCTTGCTATATACTAGTTCCTCTTCCATCCTATATAAACAGTTTGGACTATGTCAGAAGTTTTATGTCTTGCTTTGTCCAGTGAATTAGGCAATTTTTGGCTTGTAGGTTTTTTTTTTTTTTTTTTTTTGAGACGGAGCCTCAAGCTATCCCCCTGGGTAGAGTGCCATGGCCTCACAGCTCACAGCAACCTCCAACTCCTGGGCTTAAGTGAGTCTCCTGCCTCAGCCTCCCAAGTAGCTGGGACTACAGGCGCCCGCCACAGCGCCAGCTATTTTTTGGTTGCAGCCATCATTGTCGTTTGGTGGGCCCGGGCTGGGGATTCGAACCCGCCACCTTAGGTGTATGTGGCTGGTGCCTTAGCCTCTTGAGCCATAGGCGCCGAGCCGGCTTGTAGGCATTAATGAAGTGACAAGCACATACCACCTAGGTAGGAATTTGTTTTTCAGGATAGCTATGGATCAAAATAATGTTAACTTACTTTTTTAAATGTTAGTTTGCATCTGAATGAAATGTGTGACCCAGACAGGATAACATCACTGGTTAAACAGCACATCCCTGATGCCAAATTAACAGCACAGAGTGAAGAAAAACTTGCGTTTATTTTGCCTGTGGAGAGGACAAACAAATTTCCAGGTAACAAAATATAGAGACCACAGAGGGATTTGGGAATGGCATTACTAACAGTGATGTTAGGTAGGAATGATGGCCAGTTTTCAGCTTGCTCAGTTTCTGGCCCCATGCATTATCTCATTTAATATTCCCCACCCTGAGGCCATTTCTAATATTAGTCCTTATATTATCCCCATGTCACTTAGGGGTAAACCAGGGCACATAGATGTTAAACATACTTCAAGCCACAGTGTGTGCAGTGAAGTGGTGTAGACCAGCGGTGAAGTAAGATTGCGGGAAATTCGTTTCAAGAAAGAATGAGAGAGTGTGGCCAGGACAGGAAGGGGTCTGCTAAAACACTGTTAGACTATTGAAGAGAACTAAGGGAATCATACCCAATATGTAGCTTGCTTTATGAAGACCAGGACCTAATGGTATGATCTAAACTATGAAAGATAATTAAGATCAACCTCCCTGCTGCCAGACATCCCAAGATTCTCATTGTTGCTGCAAATTTGAAAATCTGGAAAACCACTGCTATTTCCATTTTTCTACTACATCTGTTTCATTTCTTAAAAGTTTAGGGATAGACCGTCTTTTGTTAAAGTGTAAAAATGAGTTTACCTTCATAATTGGCCATTGCTGCATTCTTGAATCAATAAGCTTGCCCTAATCATGGTGGTTAAAGAGACACAGCACCACAGAATGAAGTGCAGTGATTGGACGCCCAAGTGATGGGGCCAGACAGCCTGGATTCAAATCCCATCTACGCTGTTTTTAGCTCTACAATTCTAAACTAGTCATACTACTTTTCTTTACTTCAATTCCTTCTTTTGTTAAAAGGAAATTGCAACAGTATTCCAGGGTTGTTGTGAGGAACGAATGAAGTAGTATGTTTAAATTTATTATCAAACTAATAAATATAAATAAATTATCTAGAATAAGACCTGACGTGTAGTACCAATGGTATTTCATCAAGTGTAAGAAAATCCTTATCTACAGGATGTACCGCTAAGAGAGGAACAGAAAGAACTAACACTGCCGTTTAAAATACGACTTACCATCATTCATAATTCATTCTCATTTCGGATTCGTTAAAAGTTGATAAAATGGATTCATCCTAGAATCAGTGAAATCAGGTGCATACATGATATCTTTGAGATACGTGTCATTTATGAAAACAGAAATCTTGTGTGAGATTACTGCATAACACAGTGTGGCCTGATTGCCAAAGGGGAGGGAGCAATTTAATGAAATTGACAAGAACCAAAAGTTAGATAGATTTAAGAGCTCATGATCTCTTGTCAATACATCTCTGTTTTTTTTTTTTTTTATATATTTGTAATGGATTTATATTTAAGATAGAAGCCTTAAATTTCTCCCAGGATTTACCAATACTTCATCCTTTATCCAACTTTCAGTTTTCCTGAACAGCTTAAGGATCATCCAACATCTTTTTAAAAAATTATCTCTCAGGTTCAGCGCCTGTAGCTTAGCAGCTGGGGCGCCAGCCACATACACCTCAGCTGGTGGGTTCAAATCCAGTCCAGGCCTGCCAAACAGTGATGATAACTACAACCAAAAAATAGCCAGGTGTAATAGCCAGGTGTCGTGGCAGGCACCTGTAGTTCCAGCTACTTGGAAGGCTGAGGCAAGAGAATCGCTTAAGCTCAGGAGTTGGAGGTTGCTGTAAGCTGTGACAACACAGCACTCTACCAAGAGTGACATAGTGAAACTCTGTCTCAAAAAAAAAAAAAAAAGATCTCTCCAAGGGACCCACTCATCTACCATAAGGACCTAACCTCTCTCAAGGCTCTGTACAATTTTCACGCTGCAATCACAAGCTGAAACAAAGAGTGAGAGAGAGAAAAAGGAAGGGGGGTGGAGACCAAGGAGGGAGACAGAAAGTATGTAATGTTCCACGCATACTTCATCCTTTCCTTCAAGTTACACAGTTTTGAACCAGGAAAGATTTTGTGGTGCTTAATATTTCTATAAACATTAATTATTTTATATTTATTATTATAGTTCTCTAACAATTCTAATATTAAAGCATAAATCTATATTCTTTGGAAAATATTTTTATTAATTGGGGTTTAGATAAACACTCCCTATAATAGAAAGAAAAATTTAAAAATACATTCAATAAAATAGTTTTTTTCCCCCAAAAATCTATGTAATGTTCAAAGAATAGAAATATAAATTTTTAAATTAAACTTGGGTACTCAGAAGCACATGGAAACTAATGAATATACTGTATTTTTTAATTTTAGAAATAAGGGAATATCTATATCATAGTTTTGTTTAGGATGAGTACATTTGTCCTATTTTCAATATTTTCTCTTTAAAAATTTTTACTACTAACCTCATTATATATTATATTATATTATATTATATTATATTCTCTATTTTCTGTGCCTTCTTTAGACCTTTACAGGGATCTTGATAAATGTTCTAACCAAGGCATCGAGAACTATGGTGTTTCCATAACAACTTTGAATGAGGTTTTCCTGAAATTAGAAGGAAAATCAACACTTGATGAATCAGGTAAAAGAAAAAAAGTAATAAAGAAAGGATGAAAAAAAGAAATTTGCCTTTCGTCTTTGTGTACCATATTTTACCTTGAAAACATACTTTGAATCGTGAGAGCATATGCTTTTCTTGGTGCTATAATTCAGGCCAATCTTGGGAAAACTTTAAGCACAGAAAACATGTGCCTTTGTGGGATACAGCAGTGCACAACACTAGGTCTGCAGATGATAAATTCGTGGGGTAACATTACCTGGATGTAAGTGCTACAGGGGAAAGAACATCTGAGTTTATGTTGACAATTATTTTTCTGTTTTAAAAAATGTGCTTCCATGGATTCAGATGGGACAAATAGTTTTTGTTACATGGATAAATTGTAGAGTGGTGAAGCCAGGTCTTTTCTCGTACCTGTCACCACATAGTGTACGTTATACCCAATAATTAATTTCCATTTCTCACCCCCTCCCTGCCTCTGCCCTCTGAGTTTCTGAGGTCTATTATACCCCAGTGGATGGCTGTGCATGCCCATCTCTGAGCTCCCACCTCCAGCTGAGAACACGTGGTAGCTCTTGTAGAATCCTGAACATATTATTCCAGTGTCTTCAGCATTCGCTTGTTGCTATTGAGATCTGTTCTCAAGTCTAATTGTTATTCCTTAGAAAGCGTTCTGTCTTGAGTCTCTGGTTGCTTCTAAGATTTGTTGTTTGTTTGTTTCTTGTTTGCTATCATCTTATTGTGTTTACTCTTAACCATGCTCTTTATTTTTGTCATTTGGGGATATTTTTATTGATCAACTGTTATTCTTACATCCCTCAAACCATATTTTAATCATATTTGAAGTTATAAACTCGACACCATTTTTTAAGCGGTCATACTTAACTTTTAGTACATGAATTTTACAACTTTCTAGAAGTCTAAAGATAGGCATTTTCTCAAGACTTTTCTTCAAAGAGGTAACTTTTATCTTGTTTTTAAACATAATTACATTAAAAATATTTTCTCTAATATTTTTATGTTCTTGGAGGAAAGGGAAGGGGCTTCTGTATGTGTTAATTCTCCTATTTTTTTTTGTTTTGTTTTGTTTTTGAGATGGAGTCTCATTATGTCACCCGTGGTAGAGTGCTATGGCGTCACAGCTCACAGCAACCTCGAACTCTTAAGCTTAAGTGATTCACTTGCCTCAGCCTCCCAAGTAGCTGGGACTACAGGTGCCTGCCACAAGGCCTGACTATTTTTTTTTGTTGTTGTTGTTGCAGTTGTCATTGTTGTTTTTTAGCTGGCTCGGGCTGGGTTCGAACCCTCCTCCCTGGGTATATGTGGCCTGTCCCCTGTCCCCTGAGCTACGGGTGCCACCTAACTCTCCTATTTTGGTCAGGAATACTAAAACAGTTTATCTCTTATAAGAAATAGATTTATGACTTTCTTTTCATTGGTTTCCTTAAAATGAATTAAGTCCTGTAAAGCTGTAGACAGAGGACTTTTAAAATTAGAAAACACATGATTTTCTTTTATATAAATACTTTGTGCTTTTCTTCTATTTTTTAATAGCTAGTCTAATAATGCCAAGAATTAAGTTATTTGCATCTTGACTCAAGGTGGTAACTTTGACACCTTTGGTTGAAAAGGTGATTTGTAGGACAAGCTAATAACATACAAGTGAAATAGCATTTTACAAAATACTGCTCTTATGATTTAGATCTAGGAATCTGGAGACAATTACAAAGTGATGGAGCAAAAGACGTGGGAAGCCTTGTTGAGCTGGAGCAAGTTTTGTTGCCCCTCAGAGAAGCCAGGGAAGCCATCAGTGGCATGGCGCTGTGGAGGCAGCAGGTCCGTGCAATGGCAAAAGTCTGCTTCCTAAAGTTAAAGAATGAAAGAAAAAGCCTGTGGACTCTGTGAGTATCTGAGCGTTTCAGATCTCTTTGGTTTGTGAACCCCAGACAAATTCAACTTATTTAATTTAAATAAGTTTAAGAGAGCAAAACACTAAAAAAAAGGGAAGGGGAACCCCAGACAAAAGAAATTCCAGCAAATGCATATGGTCTTCTAGACCAATGAATCATCCTTTAATTGAAGGAATCATTTTTAATCATGTTGGTAAATAATTACAACAAATAAATATTGGGATTTTTCTTTTAATTTCATACAGATTTTATTCTTACTAATGGGTTGAAGTTGTAGTTCTTTACAAGTGGATGGGTAGGAGCACTTTGGTCCCATCCCAAACTTACCATTTCCTCTTTCCCCAAGATACCAAAATCATTATGTCGGGATTCCCCTGAAAAAATGGAACTAGGAATATAGGTATATCTAAAGTTATTTATGTTAAGGAATCATGGGGACTGCAAATCTAAAATCTGTAGGGCAGAGCAGGAGGCTGGAAGCTCAGGGTAGAGTCAGTGTTGTAGTTGATGGACTGGAAACTTGGGCGACTTTGAATGTTACGACTTCAGACTGCGCCCATGGTCTCTGCCTTGCCTTCACAACCATCCCTGGACCCCACTGTGAGGCTGACACCTCTACAGCTTTATCCTCAGCATCCAGTACCACCTCCTTGCAAAAGCTCAGCTCTCCACTGGGAACACTCACTCATCCAAAAACATCTGTGAGCACTTCTATGCAACACTCTATTAAATGATTATAACATATATCCAAATAAATCAGACATGACATCTGCCCTTGAGAGTGATTAGATGTGCTCTAAATAATAGTCTTGTAAGCTATGGCATTTATTAGGAAAAGGTTATGTTCAAATAAGGTCATCAAAGTAGGAACTCAGGGAGAATTTGAATTTGCTATAAGGAAATGGAACTTAATTAGCTAAGAAGAGAGAGGAGGATGGAAATCCAGGCAGAGGGAGTAGTGCTGAGTATGGTGATACATGGTAAATCAAAAAACTGTTATTAATCTGAGTTATTTGCAACATAGAGTTTATTAAAATGTGAAAATAATTTTCCGAGTATATTATCACATGGAGCTAGAGAGTTTGCACTTTATGAATAAGAAGGGGCTATTAAGGCATCATTTTTAATTTTGAACAGTTGATTGACTATGAGGAAAGAATGCCAAGAAGCTTAATTGGGCAATTGTACAAAATTTCCTGGCAATAACAGGCACTGGAGACAATGAGAACAGTCATTTAGGGCAATGGCAAAGGAGGTCAGGAAAGATGATAAAGGCCCAACCTCACAGGTGAAAGGGAGAAGAGGTTTGGAGGCAAGGAGTAATGATGGTGTGCTGGATAGGAATCTTCAACCACCGGAAAAGAGACTTCAGGGAGAGAAATGGGAGGAAAATAGTTGAGCTTTGGAGCCCAAATGAATGAGAGCATGTACTTTACAAAATTGGGGATCAGGATGGGGAAAAGGTTCAGGGTGTCGTAAGTCTGGGTGTTAATAATCTGCCAAGAATCATAATCTGCAGATTGAATCACATGTCCAGGCATCCTGCTTGGCCTTTAGAGGAGAAAGAGAGAAAAAAAAGACTAAAGATAGATGCATAAGAACCATCACATTTTAGAAAGAAGAAAATGAGGGGAAGGGTGACTCAGATATCTGGCCAGTGCTTATAACCTATTTCTAGATATTATTATGTTTATTATCCTCTCATACTTGTTAATAAAACTTATAAAAGTTGTTATAATTTTTTTTTTATATTTTCCCACACATAGGTTACTGCTTTTGGGGATTAGTCTTCTCCCTCAATTTGTGAGATATGTATTCTATGACTTATATCAAAAAAGTGACTCTTGGGAACTCTCTCCAAATATGTACTTCCTCTCACCAGGACAATCACCACAAGCTCCTCTGACCCATTTGCTGGTCGTCAATAAAACAGGTGAGCCCAGGACTGAAATGCAACCTCTAAATATTGTTCTTGTTAAGCAAGTTCCCAGAAACTATAAACATGAAGAAAAAAATAAATTCCATAAGTTTTAGAAAGCACATCTGAGTCCAAACAGAAAATTCATTAAAAAATTAAAAATGCAAGATGGTGGAGTTTCTTTTAGAAATACCTTCTACAAGTTCACTTAAACTCACTTAACTTAAACTGCACAAGGGAATCAAAGGGAATATAGGAAGACAAGTCTCATTGACTGACTTCTGAGGTCTTTTCATCTCATTCTATGAGTCTGTGTGTTGGTGAACTCTGGAAAGATAATCTGCTCTAAATTTATAAGAAGGTAGAAGATTAATAGCCTCAAGGATTATAAAGTTAACATTAACTAGTGTTTTTATACTAGTAGAAATTATAACTGAATGCCTAGGCTCAAGGTAAAGTAACCTTGTCATACTGACAGTATTGGAATGGATTTTAGTATCATGGCATCAATTCTGCCTTTTTAAGGAAACCCTCAGGCAGTCATTTTTGTGGTATGTTTTGAGTGATGCAATGCAGCTTATTTCTGTTTCTATTACGTGATCATTGTTTTATTTCATTTGTGTTTCCTTTGGTCTTATCTTCACGGTAGGGTCAAGCATCGATAACTTCATACATTCACTGAGGCAACAGAACATTGCTTTAGAAGTGGATGCTTTTGGAACTAGAAATGGCACAGATGAGCCAACATACAATGGTGCTATCATTGTGTCAGGGGATGGAAAGGTAGGTTGGACGCTCCTTGCTCCATGTCACCGAAGATGACCTTATGAATGTGAAATTCAAACAATTCACATCAAGGACACGGGAAGGCTAATTTGACACAAGCCAGTGAGATAGTTCTCATTTTCATGGGAGAGGCTGGACTCCCACTACTTGCCCACAGCCTTCAGTATAACACATATAATGAATTATTGTTGGCTCTATTCCTTCTTGTGTTGTATGCACTGCTGTAATTAAAAATTCATTTAAATCTTATCAGTTGGGGCTCATTGCCCACAGCTCAGTGAGTAGGGTTCGAGCCATATACACTGAAGCTGGTGGGTTTGAGCCCAGTGTGGGGCTGTTAAAACAACAGTGACAACTACAACCAAAAAATAACCAGGAGTTGTGGTGGGTGCCTGTAGTCCCAGCTACTCAGGAGGCTGAGGCAAGAGAATCGCTTAAGCCCAAGAGTTTGAGGTTGCTGTGAACTGTGATGCCACAGCACTCTACCAAGGGCGACATAATGAGACTCTGTCTCAAAAAACAAACAAAAAGAAAATAGAACTTATCATCAATTGGGTTCCATTCAAATTATCAATTTAAATCTTGTTCTCAGAGCTGAGAAAATCTGCCTACTTTAGACATAGGCTTTGCTTTTCTGTTTCTCACAAGTCTATACTGCTTTACTCATGGATACCCCCTTCCTAGCTCTGTAGGAATTTGAATCAGAAGGCACGGTAGTAAGCCATGTGGAGAAAGGTGAGACTGTGTTAAATGTACCAGTTAGAGTCGTTAGGTGTCAGAAAGTCTGGCCATTTATAGCTCAGGGCAGTTAATTTTCAGGAAAAATTTTCATGCCAATAATAAAGTAAAAAATTATCTTTTACTCAACTAGGCCTTAATATATCTTAATCAAATTATTTTCCACTGTACTTAAAAAAAGTTTTTTTTTTAAAATGGTAGCCTTAAAACCAATAAACATTGCCTTAGGCAATTAGGTTAGATAAAATATATAATGCTTGAGTTATTCATGATCACTAAAAAAAATCATTCTCAAAGTTTGCCTGCATTTTGGGCAATATAGATAATTACTTTACTTACATTCTTTTTTCTCTGAGAGAAATATAATTACAAGGATTGACAATTAAGTTCATGAACTAACTCATCCTAGGACAAGTGTGCACCTCAGAGCTGAATGTCTCTATGATCACTTTCAAAGTACTTCACTTGAGAGTCTATGCACTGAAACTAGTGCCTAGGTCACTCTTCAAAGCAATTTTGGAACTGTACTTCTGGAATGGAAGTTGTTGTCTTACCCTTGATGCCCTGAAGGTCATCAAAATATCTTCCTGTTAGTATTTCCTTGATCTATGGGTAAATAAAAAAGTCATCAGGGGCTAGATCAGGTGAGTAGGGAGGGTGTTCCAATCAGTTATTTGTTCACTGGCTAAAAACTCCCTCACAGACAGTGCCGTATGAGCTGGTGCATTGTTGTGATGCAAGACCTATGAGTTGCTGGCCAAGATTTTCAGTTAAGATTTCCCAAAGTGTCCTGGGTGAAAGATACAACTACATCTTGGACTTTACCTTACAAATGCAAACAATGTAACCTAATCATACATACCCTCATATTAATCTAAAATCATCAAAATAATAATAACAAAATTTATTTTTTTTTAGCTGTTTCTCTATCCATGTTTACTTGGTCTACTGTGCTTCTCACAGTCAGCCAATGATTTTAATGCACAATTTGATGAATTTTTGAAATGTTTTTCATCACTTCTGCTCTTCTGGCCACCCTAACCCCTTTTCATTAGTGAGGCTTTCTCTCCCCTCAGAAAAACATCTACTCCATTTGTACATGGCTGTTTTCTTCATGGCATTATCCCAATAAACTTGGATTAATATGTCCCTAATATCACTCCACTCTTGGCAGATTTAGCAAGAAATTGATGAAGTTTGTTGTTCTGATTCAAGCTCTGACATTCTCATCACAGCACACAAAAACACGCAACAATGATAATGAACGCCACTCAGCAAGACACCACCACGTGGCGACATGAACACAAGCATGAGGCACTGACATATAAGGTTATGAAGCATTAACAAATTGTCTGCACAGTGCTGTTAATGTAAGTGCATGGTGGCAGGTTTGCAAATTTACTTGTCAGACTTTGTATATAGGTATCTATAAAATATGTCAACTTTTTCTCTTTTTCTTCTTGTTTAGGATTCATTGAGGGTACAAAGAATTAGGTTACACTGATTACATTTGTTAGGTAAAGTCCCTCTTATAATTGTGTCCCACCCCCAAGAGGTGCACCATATACCATGACCTCCTATCCCTCTCCCCTGCTCATCTCTCCGTTCCCTCATTCCCCTACCCCTCACCTTGTATTAGATCATCTACTGCCTTCATATTAGAATGAGTACAGTGGATTCTTGCTTCTCCATTCTTATGATGCTTTATTTAGAAGAATGCATTCCAACTCAATCCAGGTTAATACAAAAGATGTAAATTCTCAGGTGGCACCTGTGGCTCAAAGGAGTAGGCCGCCAGCCCCATATGCTGGAGGTGGTGGGTTCAAACCCAGCCCTGGCCAGAAACTGCAAAAACAAAAATAAAAAAATGTAAAGTCTTCATCTTTTTTAATGGCTGAATAGTATTCCAAGCTATACATATATCACAGCTTGTTAATCCAGTCCTGGGTTGGTGGGCATTTAGGTTGTTTCCACATTTTGGCAATTATAAATTGAGTTGTGAAAAATATGTCATTTTAAAAGAGATTTTACATGTATTTCTGAAAACCTGTGCTTTTATTACAACTGCCTGCCTGCCTCTTGCTTGCTAAGTATCCATAAATTCTTCACTCCTAAAATGTATATCTTACATTTTGAAATAAGTTCTGCACTTATGTTAAGGAGAGGTTGCATTATGGAGTTTGACAGTGCTCCTCTTAAAAAGCATTTGAGATATTTTGTAAAGTTTAGGCATACATAGCCATGTGCATTGAAGCCAAAATCCTAGATTCCTTTAAATATGCTGGGAATTAATCAAATAATAGGGGTGATGAAGATGTAATCATGTTTAGTGCTTTGGTCTCACTATACTATCAATAATTTGAATGATTTTCTACCTTCCTCAGTTGTTAAGGTTTGTATTTGCTTTTTGAGAAGTTAGAATTGATATTTGTTGTGTTTCAGGATCACAGATTTTCAATAGCTTGTAATACAAAAAGGCTCAATTGCTTTCCTCTCCTCATGGATATCCTTAGTAATGGGCTGCTTAGAATTTTTAATTCTTCAGAACACATCCAGACTGAAGGAAGCTTATTTTTTGCAGTAAGTATAATTATGTCTCACTTAGACTGAGCCTTCAAGAATATTCTTGAAATGCTAAAATAACATATTAATTTTTATGAACCTTTTCTTAAATACCTTTATATTTTATATAAAAATCACTCCATGTATTTTATATATATGTGTGTATATGTTTATAAACATTATTCATCAATGACTACATAACATTATAACTTTACTCAGATGACTAGGGGTCATTGGAGCAATAGAAATACAATTATTTGGGAAAAAATTATAACTTTTGGTCTAGAATCCATCACCATCTGTGGTCCTAGGTAGTGGGAAATAGTTGGAACATCCAGAGTCTTAAAGGCTATGTGGTCTTGTTAAACAATTTGACTTCTGTAGGTCTGAGTTCACCAATCCACAAATAATACAGATACAAACTTCATCACAGGAGTTTCTTAAGAAGTAAGTGGGAGGCAATGTGAGCACCAGGCTAAGCTGGCCAAGTTAGTGTGGGGACCAGTGATGAGGTGCGTAGACAGGAAAACCACAGGTGTTTGGGAAATCTCATTTCTTATCATTACTGCTGCCAACATTGTTTTTCTTGGGAATGCATCAAAAGAAGCTTCTATCAAAAAAAAAAAAAATCAGCTTTGACTACATCATGGGGCCAGCTGAGCTAGAAGCAGGAGTGGTTCTTGTCTCAAATGCGATCTCAGATGCTGTGAGCAGAATATCCAGGTGGGGCAGGGCGTGCACATCTGTGTCATCACGTCACCCCTTTCATCTTACTGTGTTGTGCTTCCCTTTTTTGGTTTAAATGACACCTTGGGCACACTCTATGGCTTCTCCATCACTCTCTGTAGCTTCATTAGGAATTATTCCAGCACAGTCCAAAACTTCAATTTCCTATCAAATTCCAGCACTGCGGGGTCAACTTGTGACTATGGTCTGACACCTTGTCATAGAAAATGGGGAGTATGGGGCATGTTCCAGCTCTGAAACTCCCCCCTTTCTTTCCCATCTCAGTAAAACCCTGCTGGTGCTGGAGGCAGAGAGAAGGGTGGGAGGTGGAGGTCACCCTGTGGTGATGGTACTGGGAGACATCCGTGTTTTCTCTAGTTACATCCACTCTGGTGCCCTTTACTTACATGGTCATCACAGCCCAGGTGACCCGTGTGAGTGTCCTGACCCCAGTCCCTCTTGGGGATGAGGGCACACTCAGGGTGGGAGGGCAGAGTTCCTCAGGCTGCTGCAGGGAGGCCCACAGCATCAAGCTTCCTCCAGCCTACATTGCTCATTTTCCACATGGCCGTCGTCCAGGGCGTTCCATGGTTTCTGCCCTTGCGTTAATCTCTGTGCTTCTTCAGTAAGAGCTACAAGAACTGCTGAGTGTTTCTCGGGGGCTGTCTGCAGGTCGCAGAGTTTGGGGGGCACAAAGGGGGTTGGCACATCTTCTCCAAAGCACATCATACCTCTGTCCTTTCAAACCACATTTCAGTAGTCCTCCTTCCTCCAGAGATCTCTAGGGCAAAACCCAGTATTTACTGTGAGAGTTGTATGTATTAGCATATTTAAATGCCCAAACAAGATATTCACTTAGTTGTTATTCTTATTATAGTCTGTATATCCTTTATTCAAAGTACTTAGCACTAGAAGTATTTTATTTTTTTATTTTTTTATTTTTTATTTTGAGACAGAGCCTCAAGCTGTCCCCCTGGGCAGAGTGCCGTGGCATTACAGCTCACAGCAACCTCCAACTCCTGGGCTCAAGCGAGTCTCCTGCCTCCA